TACACGATGGCATACTACGCAGCCATAAAAAAGAACAAAATCATGAATTTCGCAGCAACCTGGATGGAACTAGAGTCTATAATACTGAGTGATCTCTCACAGAAACAAAGATCTGAGTATCACATGTTCTCACTCATATAGTGGATCTTGAATATCTATGATAATACTAAAAGAAAAGGACTGACAGTGGTGGGAAACTATGGGGGCGGGGTAGGGAGGGGAAGGGAGGTGGGATTAACGGTAGTCAATATCTGTCTGGGGATGTGTAGACACCCCTTATCAACAAGGGTGCCTGAACGATGCACATTTGTATACCTAACCCTTAATGGTACCCCACAATTTTATAATAAAAAAAGTTTAAAAAAAAAGAAAAAAATGATTACTTCTACAACATCTAGGCTTCTCTAGAAGCCTAGAACCTTATAAAATTTAAAATTTTTTTTTGCATTACTGTTATATATTGCAAAAAATTGCATGAGTCATATATAGTTCATATATATTTTAAACTCCACAAACTATTACTTATTGTTTGGGTCACTCGATATTCATCCAAATTATTCACATATTTACCCTCTTAATTCCTTTCTGTGGTTTTGACTTTTTGTCTGAGGTGACTTTCCTTTTGCCTAAAGAACACCTTTAGTGTTTATTTGAGGCAGATATACTGGTGAAAAAATTCTTTTTGGTCTGAAAAGTTCAGAGTTTTTCTTTGTCTAAAAATGTCCTTATTTTGCCTTTGCTTTTGTAGAGTATTTTCTCTGGATTTGAAATATTACGTTGGTAGTTATTTTCTTTCAACATTTTAATGATGTTATTTCATTGTATTCTGGCTTTACTGATTTTTGTTTGTAAGTCAGTGATAGTCTTATTTGGTAATTCTTTGAAAGTGATGGTTTCCTCTGCTCCCCCCCTCCCGCCCCTTTAGATTGCATTTAAGATATTCTTCTTGATTTTGGCTTTTAAAAGTTTTAGCATTATGTTCCTTGGTACGCTTTTCTTTGCATTTACCTTCTTTGGTGTTCTTGGCAATTCTTGACTCTTTAGAATGTCTTTTCAGTTATCTCCTGAAAGATTATTTCTCCGCTATTCTTTCTCCTATCATTTTGGGACTCAGTTTGCACATAGAATCTTTTCACTACAGCCAAAATAGCCCTTAGATTACTTTCTGAATGTTCCACTTTTAAAAATCTCTCTGTAGAGAGAGAGGGGAGATATTTTCTACTCTCTTATTTCCAGTTCCACCATCTTCTTCTACTGTATGCCCCATCTGCTTTAAACCCAATTAATGAATTCTTCATTTTAGTTACTGTATTTTTCAACTCTAGAAATTTTGTTTGCTACTTCTTATAGATGGCGGTTCTCTTCTGAAATTCTTCTCGTATTCTACTTTTGAGCATGTTCATCAAAATTATTTTAAATTTCAGGACTAATAATTCTAATAGTTAATCACCTCGGGGGCGTCTCTCTCTCTCTCTCTCTCTCTCTCTCTCTCTCTGTCTCTCCCCCCCCATCTACCTCTCCCTCCTTCTCTCTCTCTTGTCCTTTTCCTCTTTGTCTTGTTTTCTGGCATTCCTATACTTTTTTAAAAAATTGAATTCTAGATGTTGTGTTTAAAAATTTATAGGAGTTCTGACTGCTTTCCTCAACAGGAGGATTTACCTTTGTGTCTGTCTGGCAGCTAAAATAGAAGCACATTATTTTAATCTAATAAAGTATTGAACTAGTTTTGGTCCAGGTTTCAGTTTTTGTAAAGCCTGTTCTATTTGCAGTCAACCCTTCCTTTTAGGAAGCAGACTTCAGGAGCCCCAGCTGCGGGGGCGTTTATGGGCTCCTCTTTCCTTCTTGGCAGGCCCTGGCTTCCCAGCTCTGTAAGACTCCTGGGAATACTGCTTGACTTCCTCAGCTACTTACCAATCACTGTCTAGTTGACATCTCATGCACTCAATCTTGTACTACTTTTGAATGGGCTAATCCTAAAAGAGCAAAGTGGTGCGGAACAACTCATTTCTCTGACTCTTTCTGGAGGCCTTGCTAGTCCCAGTTTCCTTTTTTTCTCTCTCTCTTTCGCTCTGTGATACTGCCAAAACCTCGACCTGGTTTCTCTCCTCCGTCACCACCAGATTTGGCTCTACTTCTCAACCTCTCTCTTGATTCCAATTGCTAATCCACAAATACTTTGAGGGAAAAGAAGTGGAGAATAAGGGGTTCTTCTCATAGAGTTGCTTGCTTTCCAGGATCTTGGCCTCTTACCACTCAGTTACCCTGATAGCTCTCCTGTTTCTTAAAACAGCTTTTACAAAAATCATCTGGCTTTTCCAAGTATCTTTGGTAGAAAAGTCAATCAGACACAGCTTATAGAAACAGAAGTCTTTGAATATTTTTATTTTGCATATTTATTAATAAATGGACTTTATACACTCAGGACATTCATTCTTTATTTGAAGTCTATACTTCTATACCTCCCCCCCTATTTTTTAATAACCCTTTTTTATTTATAAAAGTATTTCATAAGTTTGTTGCCAAATTTACTAATCTTTTCCTTTAAGACTTCAAAGGATGTTTAAAATAGTTCTTTTCTTACCCTTTTCCAGACATTTTCCTATTATTTTTTCCTCTGGTATATTTTTATTTAAATTTAATTTTAAATTGTATCTACCTTTAATTTTATTGCACAGAATGTTAAAAGTTTTTTTTAATTATTTACAGCTGTTTGTTGAATAAATCATTCTTCTCTACTGCTTCGGAATTTCACCTTCTTAAAAGAGAAGATTATTATATATAGTCTAGTTGGTTCTGAGCATTCATTAATCTAGTATAATAATAGATTATACTCTACTGTTTCAATGATTGAAATTTAATAATTTATTTTACTACCTTATGGCTCAAGTGCCTTGTCAATACTCTTCTTTGTCAACTTTATTTTGGATGTTCCCTTTAGTATTTCTTTGCCTGCAGTTCAGAATTATTTATAATCTGGACTAAAGTAAGAGCAGTGGGGACACAGGGCAGGGACAGAGTGAGTGGTACTATTACCATCTATAAAGCCTGATGGGTTGGGAGGCTGGAGAAAATATAGCATCTCACATACATCTAAACCTTCTGGTCCAGGAAACTGGCAGAATGACAACATCATTAATAGGACTGGAAATATAAAAGAGACAGATTTTTCACAGACAGGGAGGGTCATCTGTTGCAAGAGAAGAAGCAGATATAGCATAGGTAAATTAAGAGATTGGTAATATTATGAAATGACTGTTTTGGCTAGTAGGATAGAAATTTGACTTGGAAATATCAATAAAAATTAAGTGAAGTCTTTTAAGTATATACATTCCAACCAGTATCCTTTATTTACTCTTAAAGAGACTTAGGAAACCTCGCTTTCAAGTGTATACCCTAGCTCTAAAATATTGTTTCAGTTAAATACAAAGACTAAGAGGAGAAGGATTTTTAAGATATTTATTTTCTTGAGGTTACTTCTGCCTCCTTGGACTTTGGGCATTTCCCTCCTAGAGTTGGACCACAATCCAAAATCTCACAATTTTGGACTAGGAAGAAATTATAAAATTAATTTGAGTCCTTCTACTGATATCTATTAGACATCAAATAAAATTTCTTGTGGCATCAATTCTGATGGATGTATAATTTTTAAGGAGCAGCCCACAGCAACCTTTTTTTGTATAGCATATTCAACCACGTGAAGCATGTGGTTAGACTGGAAACAATCTGAACTTGGCAGGGGGAGGGGGAGTAGAAGGCAGGCTGATCAAGCTTGGGAGATTTTTTTTTGGACAAAAGGGTTGCCCGTAAGGAAGTTGAACCTACTGATGAAAAACCTATTGATGTGGCTAACCATGAATTCTACTTTTGCAAAGAAAGAAAGAAAGTCAAGTAGGTTATTGCAGGCATCCAATATGATTGTGAAGCAATGAAAGAGTTTTGTAAACTCTATATCAAAATAAGACAGTAGTTTTCTTTCTAGGTCACTTATATGAATGATGTGGTAGGGCTGGGATGTCTCCTGACCTTTTCTATCTGGCTTTGTGGTCTGCGGCCTAAGGCCAAGACAGTTCATAGGCAGGGACCCTGGAGCTCAATGGATAAGGAGAAGGTGCAGCTCCTTGGTATCTCTCAGGTATATATATGTCACCAGTATCCTTTATTTACCCTTAAAGAGACTTAGAAAATATCACGTTGAAATGTATACACTACAGCTAAAAGATTGTTTCTGTTAAATACAAAAGAATAGAGAGGGGACTGGTTTTTAAGAGATTGACTTTCATGAACTTACTTCTGCCTCCTTTGACTCTGGGCGTTCCCCCGCTAAAGTTGGGGCACGGGGAAAGAATTGCACACTTTTAGACTTGGAAGAAATTATAAAATTTATTTGATGCCTTCTACTTCCATTTAATAAGAAAAACGAGGATCAGAGAAGACAAAGCTGAAGTCACTCTATAAATCAAAAGCAGAGCCAAACCCAGAAAACTCAGGCTTCCTAACAACTGATTTAAATGCTTTCTATACAGTATAGAAATTAGAAACTTCATTTTAATTTTATTAATTTGCTGTTTCACTTTGCATAGTCTACCCCTATCCTACCCTCCTTCACGATTCAGCACAATTTTTAATGTGGAGGAATAAAAAGTGGTTTCGATACTCTCTCCCGAGTATCAGATTTCTAAAAAAGAGCTGACACAAAGCACTTTTATACCAAATTTAATATGAAAGCACTGAGACTATGCAAATAAGGCACAAAGCCAAACTTAGAAATATCTAGTGAGATAATGAGTTCATGTGCAAGATTAGACTTTAGTCCTGCACTCTTGTTCCTTTTTGGTGGACAAGCCACAAGCAACTGTGACCCGAAACAGTCTTGCCACCCCTGCAGAGGCATACCTGGATCCACAGCGGACAGAAAGACCTACTTAGCAATTCTCTCTCTTTTTTTTTTTTGATAGTGTCTGTTCAGACCCACTCACTCCTCCCCCATCCTGTTCTACTTCATGTTAGAAGGAAATGAAGCCACAATGTGAGCAAGAAAAGCTGTAACACATCTTGTCTCCTGCCTGCTCCCTCCCTTCTCACTGTCCTCCCCACATGAGTTACTCCACCCCAGTTTGGCTCTAGTGTGACATCCCTGCCTGCCTGAGAAAGGATGAGCATGGTCCGTAACTGCAGTCAAGTGACACCCAGAAGCCACAGGTTTCTGTAAGTACATACAACCCAAGCCAGAGCAATGGCGTTATCACTGGAAGAATTCGTCCACTCCCTTGACCTCAGGACCCTCCCCAGGGTTCTAGAAATCCAGTCAGGCATCTATTTTGAAGGTAAGCATGCTCTAATACTTTAGCTGGCTAGAAAGTACTTATAAATGCTTGCTCTTGGAAATTGGAGAGGGAAATTTTAATATAGATTATATGAGTTCTGTTAAAGGAGAAGTCATCACAAAAGAGAGAACGTAAGTAACTGACCAATGAATGTTCAAGATCCAGTAGTGTCGGAGAAGGGAGAAAATAGATAGGACTCTGGGATGAGTAGGGATAAGGAATGGAATGAAGCTTCTTGAACTTTCTGTAGGCCTTCACTAGTTTAACATGAATGGTGAATTATTTCTGCCCTTTTTTTTGAAATTGGTTGTAATCAAGAATGGCAAGTTTAAAATTATTAATACTTATGTTTCTAGGATATAGAAAAATTTAGTTTTCTAAAACAAAAGTCATTATCAAAATCGCCATGTTTCAAAAGAAGTATTCCCAAAACTCTTAACCGCTTCTAAATGTTGATTGTATCAATGCTTCCCTCACTGTATTGGTCTAACTCCTGACTCTCTAAATGATAGCAATTTTAATTTGAAGATATAGAAATTAATATCACAAGACAATGTTTAAAAAACCATGTTGAAAAGTCAGAGTTCAATTAAAGTGACTGAATATTAAGTTAGTGAGTTTTAATGTAACTATTAATTCTGGTTTAAAGACATTAAAACCTCCAATAGATACCCTAGAATCTTTAAGTGGTTAATTTGACTGCATAAAAGACAAACTAATTTTCTAGGCCAATATGTATTTCTGGTCACCAGAGTGGTAGAATTGAAGCCATAGTAGAATGTGGGTTAGACAAACTACTGGAAAAACAACTTAAAAACTGTTGTTAAGCAAATCTTACCCTGTTCACAGACAAAAGAGTGTATTAGATATTACATGACAAAATAAAAAGAAAGATGACCGAATATCATCTCCAGTTATACACACTCATGCACACCTGCAGGTGATGAATTGGTGCAAGCTGTCATCAGCTTAGAGTTTTGATTCATTTTTAAATTGATTATTTAGAATCAGATCATGTTTTGCCATGTATATATTATGTGTCTCTATTTCTAAGCCAGACCCAAATCATTTTTGTCTCATATTTTATGCTTTTGAGGCTTTGAGTAAAAAGTTTTTTCATGGCTGGGTTACAAAAGATATTTCTTATATTGTGTTACATTAACTTTACATTTTCATATTTTACATTTAGTTTTTGTCTATTTGGAGGGCACTTTGCTATGAGGTTTTATAGGGGTTCAGTTTTCATTTTCTTTCTATAGTTCATCTGATTGCCAAGTACTGCTTGCTAAGCTGGTCATCTTTTTCCATTGATTCATTTTGCCTCCTTTAAATCATATTATAGATTCACATCTGGCACCGTCTGTCTCTAAAATATCTCCCCATGAATCCATTTTTCCTTAATTGTCCTTAAATCACAATATTTGTAATTATGGATTTGGAATAAATACTACTGTAACAAATAGATTGACTCCCTGTTTTCACTTTTTTTTCCTAAGTTGACCTAACTATTCATAGACATTGAAATTTTATGGATGCATAATATTTTTACATATTTTTGAGGTACGTGTGATTTTTGATATAAGCATACAATGTATACTAATGAAGTCAGGGTAATGGGGGTATCTATCACCTCAAACATTTATCATTAATTTATTTACCGTCCCGCAGACAGTGTACGAACATTTTCTTTTTTCTGCATCCTTGCCAGCATCTGTTTTTTGTTGGTTTTTTTTTTTGTTATTTGTTTTCTAAATAAAAGCTATTTTAACTGGAGTGATATCATATCTTGTGACTTTTCAAATAAACTTTGAAAAAAATCAACTGATTCTGCAAGAAATCCAATTGGTATTTTTATTGGATTGTATCAATTGAATAGATTAATTTGCGAAGAATTGAGTTTTTTATATTGCCTTACAGAAGAACCTAGTATATCTCTCCATGTGTCCAGACCATATTCTTCATCTTTTATTATTTTACTACTATATTATACTTCAATTAAGGGAGAAAAATGAAGACCTTGAAAATTTTCCACAAAATAAGCATGTTCATGTAACTTCTTTGCCGTTCAAGGAATAGAAAATTCCAAGTATTCTAGAAGCCCCATTTTGTATCCTTTGTCTATCACTATCTATCATCGTCCCCAAAGATAACCACTATCATAACTTTTGTCCATTTATGAACTTTGCATAAATGAAAAATTACTGTAAGTAATATTTCTGATTGGCCTATATGTATGCTATTCATTTGTAAAATGAATCCATGTTGTTTTATACAGTTCATTCAAATTCAGTATGTATAATATTCCATTGGATGAATATACTACAGTTTATTTATCCATTCTACTGCTATTCGCCATTTTGACATGAATATTTAGTACATGTGTGCTCACGTGTGCATGCATTCAATAGGGTATAAAATTAAGTTGGACTGCTCTCATATGTGTGTACATTCAGCATTGGTAGGAGATGAAAAACAAGTTTCTTAAGTAGCTATTTCAAATCACATTCCCAACAGCACTATATGAGAATTTCAATTAATTCATACTCTTAGTGATACTTGATATTATCAGTCTCTTTCTTTCTTTCTTTCTTTCTTTCTTTCTTTCTTTCTTTCTTTCTTTCTTTCTTTCTTTCTTTCTTTCTTTATAAAGATGTGGGGTACAATTCAGGGTTAGGTATACAAACATTGATTATGCAGGTACCCTATCAGTCTTTTTAGTTGTAGTCATTCTTGGTTCATGGTTTTCGTTTTTATCTCCCTGATGACTAATATTGAGCACCTTTTCATATATTTATTGCTTTCTTGAAGATGCTTTTTTTATGAGGCAATAGTTCCTACCTCTTGCTCAATTTTTCTGTTGGATTTTTAAAATTTTTATTATGGATTTGGAGAAGCATATGTATATATATTTGGTTACTGACCATTTGTCAGTTTTCTGTGTTACAAATATCCTCTCTTAGTCTATAGCTTCTTCACATTTCATTTTCTTAATGGATGGACGTTTTTAATTTTAGTGCTAGTATTGTTAATTTGTAGTTATTTTCCTTTTTGGTGTTGTCAAAGAAATTTTTCCTTACCCTAAGTTTGTGAAAGTATTCTCTGTTAGCTTCTAGAAATTCTATTGTTTACTCTCACTTTCAGATATGCAATCTATCTGGAATTGATTTTTTTGCATACAGTTTGAAATTGAGGCCAGTCTTTGTATTTTTCTTCTATAGAGTCAATTGATGCAGTGACATTCATTTATTTTTCCTACTGTCTTACTGTGTTACGTTACTCATAAGCAATGTCTGTACATACCTGAGTCTCTTTTCTGCAGCTTCTATTCTGTTCCATTCATCTAATTACTATCTTTACATCAATTTCCCCTTTATTAATGTAGATTTGCAATATCTAGTATATAATTTATATAATCTTGTATTACATATAATAATATGCTATAAAGTCATGGTTCTCAAACCTGGTTGAACATTAGAAATACCTGAATAGTTTTAAAAATATAGATACCTGGGTCTCTCCTTCCTGAAGAGATAGGAATTTAATTATGCAAGTGGTAAGACATCACCATTAGGTTTTTAGAAATCTTCCTGATGATTATAACATACAACCAAATTTGAGAACTACTATTATAGGGTAAGTTCTCCCAATTTATTATTCCCCTTCAAGTTTGGCACTTTGAATTTTCATATACATTTAGAATTAACTTATCAACTTCCATGAAATTCTCTTGGAATGTTGATTAGCTGTGTGTTAGTTTGGAGAAACTTGTCATCATCTTAAATTATGTCTTCTGACCCATTAATCTGGTATAGCTTTCTAATTATCCAAGTCTATTTTATTTGTCAATAATGTTTTATAATTTTTTGTTTAAATATCTTATACTTTTTTCACGTTTATTCTTAGTTATTTGACTTTTTCAAGCCATTATTAATGGTATCTTTTAAAATGTTCATTTTCTTTTTGTTATACTTATTAAGTTATAAGAATATATCTTCCATTTATTTTGATTTTGTTATGTATACATTTGTGCTGTCTGTGAATATTGATGGACTTTATTTCTCCTTTTCTTTTTTTCTCCTTCTGTTGAAGCACTGGCCGGTACTTCTAGTATAATATTAAATGGGGTCATGAAAAAGACCTCCTTGTTTCATTCAAAACCACAGAGAGAATTCTAGCTATTCTCCATTAAATATGCTTGTTTTAGGTTAAAGAATCTTTTAGTTTTAAAAGTTTTTTTAAAAATCATGTGTATGCTTAATTTTTACCTAATATCCTTTTTGTAACTTTTATAAAGATAAGATGATTTTCTCTTTTACATTTATTTTTTGATTGCTAAACAAGCGTTTAATAGTGAAATAAAGTAAATTGGGACATATGTCACTACACTTTTTTGTTTGTTTGTTTTTAGGATTTCTGTGTCTCTTTTAAGGGATAGTATTGGCTTAGAGTTTTTATTCCTTGTAATATCTTAGCCAGGCATTTGTATCAAGTTATGTTGAACTTATGGAATTTCTTAGATAGAATCTTTTTTTATTATTATTCTAAAGATTTTGTGTAAACTTGGTGTTCTGGAGGCCCTGCCAACACTACAAGGGTAAGAGGAAAAACAAAACAAAACAGTTGTAACAAATAGTATGGAAGAGACACGACTCTTGATATTTTCTAGTATCAATATCTATTTAGGAATATTTACTAATAGTTACTTAGAAATGTCTTTAGTTATGACTTCAGTTGTTTAATAACAAAGTCTTCCTATCCATGATATTGTTTATCTCTCATTTAAAAAAAGAGAAAAAAAATCGAAATCATTTATTACAGTTTTTTATAAAAAGTCTTTATTGAGATCTTATGTATCCTAGGCTAGTTCCTAGACTGTACACACATATGCATATGTTATTTTATGTATATACATATTATTATATTGAAAGATACTATATTTCTTCTATTTTCCATTCATTATCAGTGAGGTGGAAAAATGCAATTTTTTATTATTAGCAGTA